GTACAACTCAGTTAAATTGCTACTTCCTTTGGGAAGCCTTTTCTGACACAAGTAGGCTGAATCATTGATCCACTCTTCTCCATTCCTGTTGTTGTTAGTTGATTCCAACTCACGGCGATCCGAGGTGTGCAGAGTAGAACTGCTCCATAGGGTTTTCAAGGCTGTGACCTTTTGGAAGCAGATTGCCAGGCCTGTCTTCCCAGGTACCTCTGGGTGGTTTGAACCACCAATCTTTTGGCTACTTGTCAAGCACTTAACCATTTACACCACCTAGGGACTCCTCCATTCCTGCAGGATACAGTAAACAGTACTTACATGGGCTTACATTTACTGTTTTACTTCTCTATCTCCTGATTGAATCATCAACCCTGAAAGCAGGGGTTATCTTTAATCTGTACATCTCTAGCATTAAACACAGAGGTGGCACAGAGTAGCTGCTCATTAACTGCTTGCTGACTCAGTGAAAAATTATATTATGGTCCAGTTTATTTAAAAATAAATTAATAAAATCAGTAGACTGTTTTCTTGAGAGTGATAAAATGTATTACAGGTACATTTCAAACTAACCAATCTAATCAATGTCATAAAGCAATTCTTTAGGCTTAACAAAATTCTTAAGGAATTTACTCACAAAGTCACTGTACATAGTGTTTGAGATCCAATAATCTCGGCTTATTTTTGCTACTGTTCCTACTGGAGGTGTTAAAGTCTCAACCATGGTGACTTCTCACGTTCAACACACTCAGCACCTGGATTGAGTCAACAACACGGTTCTGACACGTGACTATTTCTATCACAGGCAATAATTAACAGGCTCTCAACGCAGTCAAAACCTCACCTAGTTCTGTATACTTAATTTATCAGGAGGTTAGTCATCTGGTGACATTAAGTATCCACAGAACACAATGAGAATTCAGCAGAAGGAGTTCAGAAACCGTCAAAACTACATGTGAAGTGCACGCACTGAAGCCTGTGTACTTATAAAGGAGTCGCTGAGGCCCTTCCGCAAACACTAGTTCATCAGCAGACTTGGTGACCAGTTTCCTAGTCATCAAAATACGAGAAGAGGAAAATGAAGAGGTCTGAGAATGCTGTAAAAAGCAGACATGGAACAACAGTAGAAAAGAAGACATGATACCCAAGGTGAAACATAAACACACAGAAATTACAGAACTGGGGGGATTATGTTACTAAGAAGCAAGTAATTGTATTATCTGTATTATGAAAAATACAGAAATTAATGTTTATAATTATGACCCCCCCCCCCCACACACACAAAACGAAAAAAGGTTAAACTACTTTAGGTCTAATAAGGTTTAAAGAAAGTTAATGACACATTTGTAAGAAGAATCAATCAAAGCACTAAAAATTAAGTATTACGTGTATAAAGAGCCAAATTTCTATTACTTGCAGGATAAACTTTTAAAAAATATATCATTTCCAAATAGCATGAGGTATATTGACTATAAACCGCTAATCATCGTTGGACATTAACCAGTTCCTCTGACGACAAGTCTCCCCCCAGTTGTGGTACATCCATTCCAAAACAAAGCCTGGACCTGCCGGTCATTAGCTATAGGTGGTAACAACATCCAAGCACACTATGGATGCCACAACCAAGGATATTATAACAGGCTACCACTGTTTAACACATCCCCATGGAGCTTTACTACCTTACTGCCCCCAGGGTCCCTGGTAGGAAACTGCTTCATTATTTGAGACTATTTTAGGAAGTCTTTCTGATACTTCAGTAACTATGTTCTAGGATTTAGGAAGCAGCACAGTGGAGTGAAAAGAACATTCATGGGAGTTGGATACTCACACCTGGGTTTGAATCCCTGTTTTGTTCATTACTAGCTGTGTGACTTTGCAGAATGTTATACACGCTCGGAGACTCATTTTCTTCTTGTGGAAAATCGGGACAATATCATCTACTTTCTATGCTTCTTGTGAGGACTAAATGATATATATAAAGTACCAATGTAGGTTTAAAAAAAAAAACAATTATGATTATCAGATAGGAACAGGAAAGGGAATAATCTTAACCCAGTTTAGGACAAATTTTATAAAATTGTATGCTGTATCAATGACACAAGAAAAAAGTATCTAAAAAAAAAAGGGCAGGCATGTTCACACGATAGGAAAAGTGGTTTTCACTTTTAAATCACAGTAGAAACCTTTCTAATCTGGGATGCATATGTTGGATCATAGAAAAGTAGGTCAATGTGAGAACTCATAAAAAAGTATATACTTTACAGATAGTAACTTACAGCAAATGAATGCAAATATTCTCATACAGGGCCAAGACCTTCTGAGTAGGAGTCCACTCACTGAACCTCTACACTGACTTTCTTGCATAAACAATACCCACATTGCGATGTCTGCGATTTCCAGGGTCAGTGACTTTTAAGCAGGGTAAGAACAGAAACCAATACCTTCCAAATTTTAATAATTTTTTTTTCAATCTTAATGGTTTTTGTGCTCAATCTAATTCAATAGCAATTCCTTTTTTTAATCTCTCCTTTATAGAGCCCTTCCAAAATATTAAAATTAGCTTTCATAAGAACAAAAACCCTTTCTGCATTCATAATTTATACAACATTCAAATCAATTACTTAATAATTATACAAACAGGTTTTGGAACGAACACAACTAGGTCTTGCTAAACATATACTGGAGGATGCAAAAGTGCCCAGGTGTAGTGGAGGACCTACTAGCTTTTAATGTTCCATGTGGTGTTGGCATCAGTCAGTGGATTTTATACAAGAAGAGAATGTTGATTAACTTGGCAAGTCAGTTAATTACATGATAATTTCAAAGAAGTTAATACTAGAGTCTTCGCTGATATGAATGAAAACCAACACAATGGTTAAAATGTTTGAGTTTGGTACTGTAAGAATTAGGCCTCACCCAACCTAAAATCTTTGAATTAACTTATAATATTTCTATTTTGTGACTCACTCTACGTAGATCATTACTATATATTTGGAATGCTATTACTGATTTCTTTCTAGAATTAGTTTTTCTCTTTAAAAGTGTTTTTCAAACACTTATTTATTTTGCAGTAGAAATTCTCTCTCCCTACCTATACACACAGTTTAAACAAAATGTGCCCTAAACTGTCACACATAAAATAGGTAAACGCAGAGCTGCTCTGGTAGTAAGGTCTAACTAGCCCTCTACTGCCAAAGCAATTTCTGAAGCATTTCTGCAGAATTTTAGGGATTCTTGGGGCACAGATTTAAAACTGTTCATTTAAACTGTAATCAAAATATACTACCAACTGATTTTCAACAAAGGTGAAAATGGGGAAAGAATAGTCTCTCTAACAAATGGTGTTAGAACAACTGGATTTCCACCTGTAAAAGAACAAAGTTGGACCCCTACCTCACACCATATATGAAAAGTAATTCAAAGTGGGATCAGTGATCTAAAAGTAGGAACTAAAATTATAAAACTCTTAAATAAAATATAGGGATAAATCTTCATGACTTGGATTTGACAATGACTTCTTACATTTGACACCAAAAGTATGAGCAACAAAAGAAAAAATAAACCGGACTCCATCAAAATTAAAAACTCTGTGCCTCAAAAGACATTATCAAAAAACTGAAATGACAGCCCACAGAATGGGAGAAAATATTTGTAAATCACATATCTAAAGATCTAGTACCCAGAATATATAAAGAACTCCTACAATGCAACAACAAAAAGACAGACAACCCATTAAAAAAATGAGCAAAGCACTTGAATAGACACTTCTCCAAACACGACATGCAAATGGCCAACAAGCACATGAAAAGATGCTCAACATCATAAGCCATTAGAGGAATGCAAATTAAAACCATAATAAGATACCACTTCACACCCACTAGAATGGCTAATATCAAATGAATGGAAAATAACAAGTGCTGACGAGGATGTGGATAAATTGGAACCCTCATCCATTGCTGATGGGAATGTAAAATGGTGCAGCCACTGTGGGTAACTGTTCAGTGGTTCCTCGAAAAGGTAAACATAGAACTGCCATATAATCCAACAATTCCACTCCTGGGTATATACCCAAAAATATTGAAAGCAGGGACTCAGATACTTGCACACCAATGTTCTCTGCAGCATTATTCACAATAGTCAAAAAGTAGAAACAACCCAAGTGTCCATCAACAGATGAATAAACACCGTATTTTTACACAAAAAACAAGTCCTTCTATGTTTGTTTGCTAATCACGCCCTCCCCCCAACCGAGGTCTTTTTGTAAGTGCTCTATGCTAATTTTTCTACAGCAACATGTAAGAAAAAATTGGCATAGAGGCGCTTATGAAAATACCTGGTAGAGGGAGGGCGCAGTTGGCAAACAAATGTACAAGGTATATGTTGTTTGCATAAAAATATGGTAAACATCATGTGGTATATACATACAATGGGATATTAGTCGGCCATAAACACAAATGAAGTTCTAATAGTTGCTACAACATGGGTGAACCCTAAAAATATTGTGCTAAATAAACTAAGTCAGATACAAAAGGATAATTCCACTTGCATGAAATATCTACAATAGGCAAATGCACAGAGACTAAAGTATTAGTGATTACTTTAGTGATTAGTGATTATAAAGTGTTAGTGATTACCAGGGGTTGGGGTCAGGGGAATAGGGAGTTCTCACTTAATGGGTACTGAATTTCTTTTTCGTGGGATGAAAACATACTGGAAATAGATAATGGTAATATACACAATACTGTGAATGTATTTAATGTCACTGAATTGTACACTGAAAATGGTTAAAATGGTAAATTTTATGTTATGTATATATTTTTATATATATATAGTATAACAGGGTCACTAAGAGTCAGAATTAATTTGATGGCAGTGAGTTTGGTTCGGTTTTATATGTTTTTACCACAATAAAATTTTTAAAACTGACCTAAGTCCAATAATAATACTTTTGAGATATCTCAACTTTTATGCACAGTCTTAAAGCACTTAGAAATGATTCTACTTACTCTCCATCCACTTCCGGTCTTCTACATACACAATGAAACTTGCCACCAAAATCTATATAAAGGTCATTTTCCACAATATGAAAGATTCGTCCAATGACCAGTTTATCCTTGACAGGTCCCATCTGTGTAAGAGGTGAGTGTCTCAGCATAGACGCGAAGGATTCCACATTCTTTGGAGAGCCCTGAATAGGAAACGAGATATTCATATGCATATAAATCAGCATAAAGTTATACTAAAACCAGCCACCACTCAGTCATTTCCAACTCCTGGCGACTCCATCCGTTTCAGAGCAGAACTGTACTCCATAGGGTTTTCAATGTTGATGATCTTTAAGAAGTAGGTTGCCAGGCTTTTCTTCTGAGGCACCTTTGGATGGATTCAAACCACCAACCTTTTGGTTAGTAGCTGAGTACTTAACAGTTTACGCCACCCAGTGACTCCAAAGGTATGATATAAGAAAATCTTAAAGGGAAAAGCAAAAAAACTCTGTAAATTTACAGTTTTTAGCAATAAAAAAATTTTTAAGTGAAATTGTGTTTTAAGAAGTTACGTATGCGTTTCAACTTCCTCTTGTGTCCTTGGTGGGGGATGGCAGGAAGTGTGGTCCAGGGTGGATAGAAGAGCCTGAGCAGGGCAAGGAGAGCATCTGGGTACAAAACCTGCAGCCTGGGGGTGGGCAGGCGGGGGAGAGTCAGAGTCTGAGCACCTAAAGAGGGCATCTGAGAAAGGGACTCACTTTACTCCTAGTACTGACCATCTGCAAAAATGCCTTCTAATTCAGGTTTAGCAAAAGTGACTATTCTTTTAATGCAAATGTAAACAATCATTAAGCTAAAAATGATTAAGGGCCCTCTGTCACAATCGTCAGCCTGAACATGAGTCTAGTTATATAACACAGGCAGTCCTCGGCTTACAAACGTCTGATTTACGTACACCCCGTATTTACGAACCAACCCCGGTAAAGCCTATTATATTAAAAATTGAGGTACATACAATAGTTTGTAATAACACATGGGCACTACTTTGCAATGTGCATCAAAACATTATTATTATTATTACTGTATGTAATGGATTGAATTGTGACCCCCCAAAATATGTGTTGTAAATCCGAACCTCTATGCCTGTGGTTATAATCCCATTTGGGTATGGGTTGTCTTTGCTCTGTTAATGAGAAAGGATTAGTGCAGGGTGTGTCTTAAATCAATCTCTTTTGAGATATAAAAGAGATTAAATGAGCAAGCTAAATAAGCAGAGATGGGGGAAGAGAGATGCCAAGCCACATGAACATCGCTCAGGAGCAGAAGCTCAGATGAGACAATGACCTTCCTCCAAAGCTGACAGAGAGAGAAAGCCTTCCCCTAGAGCCGGCACCCTGAACTCGGACTTTAGTCTCCTAAACTGTGAGAAAATAAATTTCTGTTTGTTAAAGCCATTCACTTGTGCTATGTCAGTACTAGAAAACTAAGACACTGTATTTTTATGTGAAAGATGTTTTAGTGTATCCGGAAGTGTTTCTTTAGGGTTTTTTTTTTTTTTATGCATAGAAAGTTACTCTACGTACTAAGACAAACAATTGACTAACTGGCATTAGGTACGAACTGTACCTAACTGTTCCAACTTATGTATAAATTAGATTTGAAGACAGACTTTGGAACTGAAGTTGTTCGTAATCCAGGGACAGACTGTACTTTTAAATACTTTAACTTATCATAATTTTCTTCTTTTTCCTAAGCTAAAATTACAAAAGGGAAAGATAGCTTCTTTAATCTTTTTGTGCCAGTCACTTTCTAGGAGTCCTTTTACATATTAAACTTCCTGGAGTATGACTGAACATACATGCAGTATGATTATTCCTTTTCTTTTTACTTACAAAACGTAAATTCCATGCAAATGCTTTTTCAGAAATTCATGTGTACAAATTTGTGCCTTCTACTCATCTTTAATCTGTGTGTGGTGTAGTGTGTGTGCGCACTGGGCCTCAAAGTAAGGAAAATGCTAAGTTTCTATTCGTGAGAGCTAATCATAGGGGAATATTAACAATTTGATTTGATTCCTACATCCTATATTTGGATGAATTGAACATTTGTTATTCAAAGAAGAACTATTAAGAGTTCAATAGCATATTTACTCTAAAAACTACAAAACTGTATTTATGATTGAATTTTAATACATGAACCACTCCAGGGGTTACAAACGCAATGCCAGGCCATGTGGGAGCTTGGTGAACAGAACACGTGCCTGATCGAAAAGGCACAAACACCCTTCAGCTCCAGCTGTGATTGCAATTCAAGTCCAGTGTTGTCACATCTTTTCATTTTCCCCTAGAAGCCAGAAATCTGTACATTAATGTAAAATTTTCAATTTTTAAATGTTTGTAAGTCAGAAAAAGAAAGTTTTTCATTTTATAAATCTGGTAAAACTCATCTGGGTGTCAAATTTGGCCCATGGATCACAAGTTTATAACTCTGCCTCAAGAAAAAGAGTCAAACCATTTGGCTGATGCCAAGTCCCTTAGGTGCCGGAGGGAGAGGATGGTAATGAAGTCTCAGTTAAAACACTCTGGGAATTAATCCTTAGCACATACGGGTCATTTTAAACCAAAGACAAGACAGTAGATCTAGATGCCAAAAAACACTGAAAGAGTAGCCAGGAGTGTTATACCATGAGTCATAACACTTGTTTTCTAACTCTACACAGTGTAACATTAAAGGATCTTACACAAGTACCTTCATAAAATAGTTGTTTCTTGCAGAGAGCCAAGGATGAACCATCCTACAGGCTCAACAGAGGCACAGCTATGAATTGCCCTCTAGAGGTGGTGCAAGGACAGTAATACTAAGGAAGCTGTCAGTGAGAAGAGCCCCTGACAGGAGCAGCAATCTTACTCATCTAGTGCTGCTATAACAGAAACACCACAAGTGGACGGCTTTAACAGAGAAAAATTTATTCTGTCACAGTCTAGGAGGGCTGGAAGCCTGAATTCAGGGTGCCAGCTCAAGGGGAAGGCTTTCTTTCTCCGTCGCCTCTGGGGGAAGGTCCTTGTCATCAATCTTGCCCTGGTCTAGGAGCTTCTCAGTGCAGGAACCCTGGGTCCAAATGATGCGCTCCCCTCCCGGTGCTTCTTTCTTGGTGGCATGAGGTTCCTTCTCTCTGCTTGCTTCTCTCTCCTTTTATCTCTTGTAAGATAAAAAGGTGATGCAGGCCACACTCCAGGGAAATGCCCCTGAGTAAGGGTGTTACATCCCACCCTAATCATCTTTAACATAATCTAATCTTGCCTCATTAACCACAGGCAGAGATTAGGATTTACAACATACAGGAAAATCACATCAGATCACAAAATAGTGGACAACCACACAATCCTGGGAATCATGGCCTAGCCAAGTTGATACACATTTTGGGGGACACAAGTTAATCCCTAATGGCAGCTGCTTTGATCCTCTGCTGGAGCCGCAACCCCTTCACAGCAGCTGCCACCAGAGCGGCTGAGAAGAGCACTGTTCAAGAGAAGAGGCACGATCAGCTCCGGGGTCTCCTGCTCACACCTGGGGAGGGCACACGCAGAGATCTCCTGCTCACGCCTGGGGAGGGCACACGCAGAGGTCTCCTGCTCACGCCTGGGGAGGGCACACGCAGAGGTCTCCTGCTCACGCCTGGGGAGG